TATCATTCATGAATGGTAGAATACTTTATTTGCTACCTAAATGAAATTCAAAGTAAATTTTTGAACTAGTACGTATTCTAAATACACTTCTGTTTTTACATTCTATTTCATAGATTTAATAAAGTTTTTTTTTTGTATACGAAGCATGTGTTATGGTTAAAATTAGACACATTTATATCAACATCAAGCCYTCTGTCTTAGTCCACAGTTTAATTTCAGGGATTCTCCCAATGCAGGAGCAAAAAACAAAAGGCCACTCCAGTTTGCTGGAACAAMGTCTTGGTGCACGGCCGCCAAATCACTTTTACTTTCTGACAAAAAAGTCAGTCTTTCGACTCGTGTTTTTCTTCTGTTTCACCAAAAGGAAGATTTTTKTTCCTTTTCAGCAAAAAGGAGTTTGAATGCACCCAGCTCAGCACTTTTAACTGACACCTCTCTGAGCGTGAATAGGCCTTAAACTTCAGATGACCCAGTAGAAGAAGAACCGAGCTCGGGTCTGAAGGATGGAAGGATGGAAGAGGTGGGGATGTGTGGCTGGGTGGAAGTGGCGGGGCAGTCATTTGCATGGCTCATTGTGCTGCACAAGTTTGGGTGCTTTTTTTTTTGGGCTTGGGCCCTTTTGGCCATTTACTTCCACTCTGGCTGGCTGTGGCGAGCTGTGAATAGTCTCTGCTTGGAGGAGACACAAAGGCGCTTTTGTGCTGCGGCTGCACCATATTCATCAGGTAATGCCTGTAAGACAAATCTGATTGGACGTCTCTGTCACTTTGATGTGGGTTCAGAGTGCGAGTGGCCCTGAGATTGCTAACTTCACTCTCCATTGCCTATTCTGCAGCATTGATATGGAGGGTGGAGGCAAAAAAGCGGGGAGTCAGAAGAGGTAGCTTGGGGRAGAATGCGGAGAGAGAAGAGAGAGCAGGCAGGGGGTCGTCCTCATTATTTGCAGGAGCAAATTCATAATAAATTTCCCCATTGTAGAAAACCGGGTCGAGATGATTGACACTACTTTACGGCGGGCTGAACAAAAGCCCTGATTTGAGCAGAATACCAAATGAATGGGGCGAGCGTGGATTCAATTCAGACAATTTTAATCTCTCCCTCTCCTCCCCTATCCCCCACCCTTTCCCTCTTATACCCCATCTTTTTTTCAACTCCAACTCTACTGCCTCTTTTGTCCRGAGCATTCTCATTTTTCAGAGTAATTCTACTCCAACGGATGTGCTAATTGTGCTGGGTTAAACTGGAAGCTGGTGGACTCCTGTGATATAGAGCTTATTCTTGCCTAATGGCTGTAATGATGGTTCAGAGAGACTGCAGCCTGCAGCCTGGGCCGCTCGTGTAAAACTTGAGAGGGAGATGTTTTGTTTTTCTTTTTTCCTCCCTCTTTTGATTCATTTAGGCTGTTAGGGAACGAGAAGCAGAGCAAGGCCTCATGCTGGGATCACGTCAAGAAAAAAAGGGTGACGAACAAAAGGATGACAACTGAGTGCTCAAAGTAGTGCAAATTCAAGTTTGCCATTGCAGCGAAAAGTTATTTACTACTTCTAACTTTTTTTTGAAGTTATGTTTACAAGTTTGTGAAAGTATTTTGGTTTGTGGATGAGGGAACAAACATTTGCATTTACAGAAGAAAGTGAGCACAGGAACATGAACTCACAGGATGCAAAATAATTTGCATTTGTAGAAAACAGGTTTGCAGAACTCAAGTTGCCTGTGACCTGGCATCTTGTGGCCAATCGTGGAACTACACATCACACGCWCTGGATTTAGCTTTAGAAGTTGTGGTTTATTGTTTTAAATCAGAGAATACAGCTTCCTTTCTATTTCAACTTCTGTAGAGCAGCTTTAAAGTGCCCATAACATACTCTAAGCAGAATGATTTTTTTAGCAGTTTGTTATCTTACACAAAAAATGCATTCATATTTAATACAAAAATTTGATGTCACAGTCAGTTTAAGCTCTTCCCTCATTCCGTCCCATTTCGTGCACATATGTGTAAAAACAACCAGGATTTGTGCAACTCCTATTCCAAAAAAGTTAAGATGAGTATAAATAAAAACAGTATGCAGTGAACTGCAAATCTCATAAACCCACAATTTACTCACAATGGAGACTAAGAAATTGTACATTTTTAGGTAAAATATGACCATTTTCAATTTGATGGCAGCAACATATCATTTAAACTTTAGAACAAGGATGTGTTTTCCACTGTGAAGCATCCCTTGTTTGAACAACAGTTGAGTTTTTGCGAGGGATTGTTGTCTCATTCTTCAACAGACCTGGGCTTTTCTTTGGTTTTGAAACCTGTTTTTACATTTCTGCACTAATATTTCCAAATGTGTAAGCTGCCTATGCCGAAGTCACTCATGTAC